CTTCTGTCTCTGCCCAGTTTACAAGAATCATTAAGAGAAATATTACTGTTGCAATTATAAGGCACAAGCTGAATATTTAAAAGTTTTCTTTTCCCTTTATGGAAATATGGTTATATGCTTGTAGAAATAGTATTTCATGATTGATCAGTCTTCACTTTGGCTCAGAGGGTTTTTTTGTTTGTTTGTTTTTTTGGTTTTTTTTTTTAATTATCAAGTCAAAGTGACAGCATCCATGAATGGTGGTTTTGACAAGAGCACATGTGTAGTGAGAAAACACTGCTGCATGGGCTGTTCTCCATCTCAGACTTTACATTCCCAGCATGAATGAGGATCAGTAATGATGTTTGCATTCTTYGACACCCATTTAGTTGGCATATAATCCTTCTTGCTTATGGAAATCAAAACTATTTTTTAAAATCTAATTCTGCTTTAAAAGTACATATAACAGGAAAAAGAAAACAACGTAAGCTATTTAATCCAAGCCTTTCTACTGATGAATCTGAGAAAATGGACCATATTCTGTATATTGTGATAAATAATTCTGATGTCCTATTGGCAACTCTTGTAGTTTATGAAATTTTACATCAGCAGCTATTGGTCAAATATTTTCTTGCTATAATCAGGTGACCATATATATATATAAATAAAWATATATTCAAATATACAAATACAAGCATATGTATATATGCTATGCAGGAATCTCTGAAACGGGATCTAGGTAAATTAGTTTTTTCTGGTATGATTTTCTTCCGTTTCCCTCAAGTGGAAGTCAAGAGAAATAGAAGTTCATTTCCATTCTGAAGTTTACTGACCTGTGTCATAAAGGTTCTTTCTTCCTACCTGGCAAATACAGCACAGTGGATTGCTTGCTTTAAGTTGAAATGGTGGAAGTTTTGCTGAAATCTAATAGACTCTTTAATTGAATACATGACTTTAAATAAGTTTTCTGAACTGCAATATATTTTTTGTTTCATATTCCTTTGAGAAAAGCAGAGATATGCCTGGGTGAAGGGAACTTATGCAGGTCTTTTCTTTCACAGATAAGTTTACAGAACAATATATAGTTATTGTATCTATTTTTCCTCTCTGGGCCTGACCCCTTCCTTTCATAGAATACATTTCATGTCTGAATCTTCTTTCTTTCAAGTCTTTCCACTAAATTACATTCCATCTGTGAAGCCTACAAAACCTTAATCATGCCTTCTAACAAATGTTATCACACTTATATAGCAAAAGATGCCCAGAGAGATTCATAGAACATTTGGGAACTTSTACCATCTGTGCATCTCCCACTTATGCTTATTCAAGAGTTCTTCCCCACACCCCAGTTCCTTCTTCTCCAAAGTGTTGCATACCCAAGTACATTTCCTTTTGTAGAGATAGGGATCTTTGCTGTCCTCTATCTGCAGTAGAAATWACTATATGCACATAATTATATTAAAAGGACATTTATAGGGTCAAAAAAATTAAATGTTCATTTCATGGCTAGAAATTTGAAGCTATAGGTATAATCATAGTATCTATACTTGTGAAGCCTGACAGTCTTCCATTAGAGCCATATTTTTCCCCTCAAGCTCCCTACTTGCTTCATTTCACAGAACTGACCTTCTCTGATGTTAAATCAAGGCAAACCCCAATGTTTCATAGTGTWAAAATGTTTTATTTTAAAGCTGGAGACTGACACACACTTCCAGCATAGAATTYCCCTATGATATCACAGAACAAAACATTTTGATTATGATTTCACCATATCTGAGTTCTTAACTGAAATCATAAGACTGTTCTGCTGAACAGTGAACATTTCCAGACACGCCTCATGTCAGTGAGAGTTTGGGCTTGGATATATAAGAGTATGTAATTCTACRCATTCCTCAAAAATATGGATCTTAAATACTCAAATTAGATATACTAYATTTATGGATATTTTTGAGCTGAATCTATGTAGTACCTTCCTATTTCTAATACCAGAATCACGATAGTCCACAGTATAACACAATTTTTCACAAATCAGACAAAGTTTTAAATTTTTTTATGCAATGCAGTGATGTACATCATAAAAAAATCCATTCATTAATTCTGTGTTCACGGGGGGTTTTGGCTCATACCTGGAACAGTCAATAAGATTTCTTCATCCTTTTCTCTCTATTCAGATCAAACTTTCATCCCTCTGTGTTCAAACATGGCAGCTTCCGGCTCACACTGCTATGTCCCAGAAGAGAGATCCCATAATACAGAGTATTGTAGTTTCTGGACAAAAAGATAAAATTGTCAATAGAATATTAGTTAACCACATGTTGGGCTATACAAAATGTGAGTAAAATATCTGAGTTATTTATTCGCTTAAAATGTAAAGTCYACCACTCTTACATAAATGCAGTATTTTAGTGTGTTGTAATTTCAGCAAACTTAGGTGGATAGATTTTAATATTCAGACAAAAAACTCCCAAAAGTTAGGTTCTGAGGAGCTCAAGTTCATAGTGAAATATATTAAAATACCAAAAATATTTTTAAAAGATTGCCTATAAGTTTAATCATGGGTAAAACAATCTAGCTTCATTATCACTCTGACTTTTTTCAAGAATTTAAATATAGCCTTGGACTTGTAAAGAAGTTATATGCTAAAGCTCAGTGAAGTAATAAGCAACCGAAAAAAGGGATATATGATTTGAAGTGACGTGAAATCATAACAGTTAGTTATCATTCTTACTTATAACTTTCCGAGGAGTAATAATACCAAGTTAAGTTAATAATTTCTTCCAAGAATGATATAAGATGAAAACTAAAGTTTTCTTCTCAATACTTTGTGTTCATAAGCTTCTYGGCACTGCAATAAATTAAATATATCCTCCTTACATTATGCTATGAGTAATAYAGTCCCTCTTGAGAAAAAGAAAAGATCACCACCTTGTCCACCAGACCAKGGCTCCAAGTGTCATGCCCAGTCATTTCTTCAGCACCTCCATGAATGGTGACTTCACCATGTTCATGGGAAGTCCATTCCAGTGTTTAACAACCCTTTCTGATGTCCAGCCTCAACCTCTAGTGGTGCAGCTTGCCTCTATATCCTCTTGTGCTCTTGCTGGTTGCCTGGGAGAAGAGGCTGCCCCCAGCTGGCTAAAACCTTCTTTCAGGCAGTTTTAGGGAGTGCTGATATCCCCCYGAGCTTCCTTTTCTCCAGGATAAACAACACCAGTCCYGTGTCCTCTCAGCCACTCCACACAGGACTCGGACTGTGCTCCAGACCCTTCCCCAGCTCCATTGCTCTCCTCTGGGCTCATTCCAGCACCTCAATGTCTTTGTTGGGTGGAGGGYCCCAGAACTGGACAGATTTGAKGTGTGTCCTCACCAGTTACAAGTACAGGGGGATGATCACTTCCCTGGTCTGCTGTTCACATTATTCTTGAAAAAAGAAGTGCAGAAGTACAGAATACACAGAAGTACAAAGCAAATGCAATAAAATCTATCCAAACATATTCAAAAGTAGATAATACAATATATTGATATCTTTCTTTAATAATTTATATTCTATGCAAGGCAAGAAATCTCACCTATCTAGACTTCAAAGCAGTTTTTGACACTATCTGATATGAAAAGAACATTTAATGTTGAGAAGATGAAGAATTGACTAATCATGACAGGACAACAGATTGTGTTAGGTGTTTACACCAACAAACAGAAAATGCTGAGGGGTTCTTTATGGGGTGTCTTGCAATAGAACTTTTTGATATTTAAGTTAAAGAATAGATCATAAAACCTCTGAGCATGTTTCTGAAATTTGCTAATAAAGCAAGTCTGACAACCATCGAAATTATAAAAACAAACAGGAAGAATCAGATGATCTTGATGACTTCTATAATAGAAATGGGATTAACTTCAATAGCACAAAGAGCAATGTAACTAGATTTTCAGCTATAAACTGTGAGTTCAACAGCTGGAAATGACAGACAAAAAGAAAAATGCAGCCAATCTACTAAAGAACTATTGGCAACCAAAATATGATGTAGCTATGAAAAATGCTAATATGGAGTATTAAACAAGATATTTCTGGGTTAAAGAGGGAGATATTTAACAATATCATGTAAGGTAGAGCACATATTCATGATGAAAATTACGAATAATTTCTGTCCTCCATATTAAACAAAGATTCACTGAAAATGTCATTAAAATGGAGTGGAGGTGAAGGAGAAGCTTATCAGCATGATGTCAGGAATGCAGAACATCATTAATGAAAGGAAATTGAAAAACCTTGTATTATTTTGAAAAAAAAAAATCCTCAATCCTAAAATGACAGAAATTCCCTCTGTAAACATATGAATGGGTAAAAAGAGCCTGCAGATGTTTATAATGTATTGAACTTTAAGATTAGTATCAACATAAGAATTTAACATATATATACAAAAACATATTTTAAAGAGATGCTTTTCATGCMACATGAGTCCTTGCACCAATGGAGGATAGGACTCAGCACCCAAGAAATGCAGTTTATTCTCAGTCATAAACACGATTCTGGGTCAGCAAAATAACTTTTACACCAAGTGTTTTAATGGCACTTATTTTGATTCAAATGCACATAATTTTCTTCTYCACTCATCTGCTTAAGATCTACATGAATGCTTTAAACATCATCCACTCACTAGGTGCCTAATGCAAAGCTTATTTAGTTTAAGTGCTTCCAYTGACTTCTGTATGCTTTGGATTATGTTCAGTATCCTCACCACAGCCAGCTGCTGCAGGCTGCAGTTTTATCACAATATTAGACTGCTTTTCTCTTTTCCCTACGATCTTAAGAGGGAAAGAAAGAGGTACACTTTGGCTTGCCCTGTCTGTTCTTTAATGTGCTTAGATTGCAGTTATTTCCTGCTGAGCCCTGGATGAGGGCTTAGTTTGTTGAAGAGCAACTTTTTAATCATAGCACAGAATGAATGAAATAGTAGATATGTCAGGCTTCTATCAGAAGATGAAAAATGCAGAAACTTATCAGTACCTCTCCTCCTCTAGATATATTGTAGGTCATAAAAACCCACTCTGCATAGTACTTATTACTCTTATAAAGGACACTAAAAATGTAATTATGCAAAGGATGATCACCAAGAAACTTTGCAAAACAGCTGAAACAGACATAAAAGAATGGCAAAACATGCAAGTGAGATAGGAGGAGAACAGCTGATTTCCAAGCCAGGGTCTTCTCTAGCTTCTAATAGCCATTTTAGCTAAAAGCCAAAGCTGTGCACTAGATCTGTGCAGTGTTGGCATRGATATATGTGTTTATGCTTTAACCTAGTTCAGAGAAAGGCACAAGGGACTCCACTTCTTCATACATTCTCTTGCTCACCATTAAGAGCAGATGGTAGCAGGTGAATAGCCCTTACTTATTTTCAGTGCATAGTCATGCCTCTGATAGGGTCAAACAATAGATTAAGGWAAAGTTTTGTCTGCTTCTGCACTGTACAGCTGAATAAGGCTTACAGCAATGTGACCTCTAAGGATTCTAGTGTTGCACTTTTCATATGAAATTACAAGCCTAACATAAAAATTAAAATACCTAGTAAAACTTAAACATTGCAGAACAAAGACAGATAGCCTACCCAGTAAGTAATCAACAGCTTGAKTCCATTCTAAATTACTTTCCTTGTCACCATGTTGATTTCTCTAAAACAGCTGAGTATTTTTTTCAGCCACAGAGCAGTGTTTTGAAAAAGCACACAGAAACATTAAAGCTCCCAAATAAGTGAGTATATGTGTAGATTTATAAATTTCATTTTATATRTAGTCAATAACATATATTAGCATTTACTTACAGAAAGGAATAAAGATGCAYAGAATTCAATTATCCATAACAGTGTCAGAATTATAATATTGAAGGTTCTTCTTCAGAACTTCTCAGAGTTCCCATCTTGGCTTGGGTATTTTATCTTCTGCTCAACAGGCAGCTGACACAGTACAATCATGAAGACATGCCAGATCTTTTATACTGTCCTGAATTATATTAAAAATAAATTAAAGCTGCACAGGATGCACTAAGAATATTAGACAAAAAATTTTATGCTCTTGTGATTTTCATTTAAAAATGAAATAAAACTTTAATTCACAGAAAAATTATTTGTAGCATCCTAAAAAAACAATAAAAACATAGGACATATAACTGAAAAATCATACTAGGCCAAGAAGTCTTCAAGAGAATGTAAAGGCAAAATGGTTTTACCAAGTGTGTGTGCTCAGTTTGGYATATAAAGGATATCTGACAGAAATAAGTGAAAGCACAAGCTTGAAAATATCTGTATTTCAATATATCTATAACAGTTTAGTATATTTTACTGCTACCCATCAAATTTCATGACACAAGACTTTTTTTTGTTTATGTAGCTCTCTGGAATACAAAATTGTTCTAAAGGCTTCAGAATGAGCTTCTTTGACTTTCTTGCAATCCCCAAATAAAGGAGAAACAATTGCCACCTATTTAAATACAAATCTTGAGGTGAATCCAGAATATTCTTAAAAAGATTAAAGAAATGCAAAACTGTGGTCTAATGAGCCTCATCTGGGAAGAGAATTTTCTAGTGGTTTGCCTGSGTAACTGAACAGGTCATCACACTTCTTTTTATCTCATGGGGATAATTTACAAAACATTTTGAGACCTTCAGTCTGCTCACTACTGATATCCACCTTGGACACATTATATAAAAGTATACCCTACATTATTTCCCAAAGTAACTGTGCTGTTCTCTGCTAGTGAATCTATATTCATATCAACTGCACACATTTAATATTTTTCAATGACAATGAACACATTTTTCTTTCTTCGGAAGTGTTACCTGGTTCTCATACATTTCATTTAAATTAAGTCCAGCTTTAATTATCTCCCTGGAATGTCTCATTGTATCTCTTTATGGAGAATATATACTAATGACTCATAATTTCCCTCTATTTTTATAGGAATTCAAGCAAGATTACCCTATTTTTTTCCAATAGTTTACTTTGCATTTAGAGAAAATGAACAATAGCTTAATTTAAAAATAAATCTATAAAATAATGGAGCTGGGTACAGAACTCATTTATATCCCTGAAAATCCAGGAAAGTTTGCAGTTGCATATGAAACATAAATCTAACAAAATTCTGCCTCTCCTCATAAAAATTCATATGGTTTTTTTAGGACCTTTCATTAATTTTTCCTTCTGATTTTAATCGTATTCTGTCTGTCATTTCTGTATGATTATGGGTGGTTAGATTTTTTTTTGTCAACATTTGGGGAAAAAAAAACAGTCTCTAAAAGGCCTTTCATGACAAATTCTGTGGAATAATGGAAGGAAGGAAGGAAGGAAGGAAGGAAGGAAGGAAGGAAGGAAGGAAGGAAGGAAGGAAGGAAGGAAGGAAGGAAGGAAGGAAGGAGGGAAATAAACTCTCAAAGTTAATAATTGTAATTTATAAGGAATATATATATATATATATACAGAAAAAATCTTAGTAAACAGAATCACTACGTCTTTGGCTAAAATACTTCCATCATTCTTTATAAATGTGAGAACTCAGAAATGCTGATCAAATCATGCCTATACAAGAACCTTTCATTTTGAACAGACTTCAGATACAACTTTAAGAATGAGCAATTATAAACATGTGAGATTTAACCACCGTTATCCAACCCAGATTAATTCTGCTCTGTCAGTAACTTTTATGGTGCATTATCTAGCTCAAAGATTCTCAAAGAGAGTAAAAGAGAGAGGATTTAAACAAAGTAACTGGTTTCATGCTTAGCTAGCRTTGAGTTAAATAAGCACAGATGTGGGTTTTATCTGCTTAGAAGTAAATCTGTGGGGTTTTTTTTTATTTAAACTCTGAAGTTTTAACGTCCATCAGAAAGGCTGTTGCTGCAATGAATAATTTAATCACTGCTGCCTATTACATGCTACCACACAGCAAGCATATTTGCAAAGCTGTGTAAGACAGCGGCCAAGTGTCAGCGGTCCCTGTAACTCAGCTGGCCTCCCCGTATATTCACTGCGAGCAACTCAGGGAGCCCCGAGGGCGGCCAGAGGGCACTTGTGGTAGGGAAGGGAGTGAAGAGGTCACAGCAGAATTGCACCAGATCAGCAAGACACTTTAGAGAGATGAAAGGTCACCGCGGGCTCCGTGCTGTTATGGTGTCATTTCAGCTGCTCGTCCCTTGGTGGAGTTCTTGAGTTAGTTTCTCCTCTCCGTCAAATGGCTTTAACTGCTTCATGTGGGGGTTCTGTCCTTGTTTCTACCCTGCTTTCGAATTTTCTGTCATGTTTACTCTGTTTAACCTTTTCCACGTAGTATTCTGAATACGTTACTTTCAAGATAATATGATTTTTTTTAAACCAATATGATATTCTTTTTCCTTCTGAAGCTTCTTTTTCATTTGTGAGTGCAAATAGTAATATGTACTATGTATTTGTTAATTTATACCTTGGTATGAATATGAAAATAATCTGTCTCTCTTTAACCAGAGGTGGATTCCCACTGCGGACCCTAGAAGTAATTTTCCAGTGAGAGCCACCGACATTCCTAAACTGTGAAAACCAAAYTGTCGTGGGCTGAAAGCACCAACTGCGGACGCGAGTTCGGCTGCGGGCGGCAGAAGCCGGGCTCAGCCAACACATGAAGATAAACCAGCCATTAATTATATCTGCATATTTTAACGATGACCTCTGCCTTTCCAGTCAACAGCTACAACAACGACAACAAAGCCCCACTGCAGAGCGCCGGGAGCTTGGGGGATGCAGGGAGCCGGGAACGCTCCCAGGCTGCTTTAGGATTTCCCCACGTACAGCAGGCTGCGATTGTCAGCAAGACGGATTCCTTCCCACACGCAAGATGCCACTTCGGTGGCCTTATCAGATGTTCCCTTTAAGGACACAAGCTCCTATTTCCCCTCTGTATATCACCAGCATCTCGGGCTATTTTATTTATTACAGACGATTACATTTGTGATCCCTCTTCCCACTTGATCTCACCAGATCAGGAGGACAAATGCCGTTCGTGTCTGAGCGCGTGTGGGCGTCTGTGCTCTGGAGAGGGGGGAAAGCMGGCACAGGCGGGGAGTTACACTGCGCAACAGATTTGCCCGAGAGGGACAAACCTCCCCCGCCTGAAACAGCTGGGCTTGTTCCTACCGACACCCGGGAAGCTGCGGGCGCACGGGCCGCCGGACCGGAGTCTGCGCTGCCGGGGAGGCGGAGAGAGGGCGCGGGGGTAATTCTACTCTCTCCCCGCTCCAACGAGCGGGATGCGGGGGGAGCGCGGGGGACACACGGCCAGCACAGCCCCGTGTCCCCCACCCCACCCCCCCGGCAGCCGGGACACGTGGACCGGGAACAGCGCGGCCATCCACCATGCAGCGCACGTCGGGCCCATTTCCCACGCCGGCCGCCTGCCCTGGGGGAGGAGGGGAGGGAGGAAGGGAGAATGATAGAAAAGGGGGGGCCGTTACCTCTGCTCCGAAAGAGGAACCAATCCACTGTGAAGGACGCAGCACTCCCGAGCAGGAAAGACATTGCACATTCAGAGGGAGATTGCATGTGAAGACACTGCAAAAAAGAGAGAAAGGGAGGGGGGGACTGGGGGSCGCAGACCGCGTGTGAAAGGCATAGTGTGTGTAAGAGAGGCCAGCGAGGGTAGGAAGGGAAGGGGGAGTAATTGCACATGGCAAGAGAAAGAAATCACTCATTCRCTTGAAAGAGGCTCTCGCAAAGCAGACCGTAGTAGAAACAACGGGGAAGGAGACGCGGGCAAGAAGCGAGCGTCCATGCCGTGCAACAGCCCGGAATCCGATTAAAGTTTATGGCGGGGAGGTTAAAAACACTCCCATCCCGCCCCTTCCCTGGCGAATATATTAAGTTTCCTGGCTGCGTTTAAAAACACAAAGGGGAGGAAGGGAACAGCGGGAGCAGCGGCTCGCCGTTGTATTTSCAGTGCAGGGAGCCAGTGTAATGCAGTATGCTGGTATTCGTACGTACTGGCATGTCTGGATCTTACACTGTGAGCAAAATTTCCTCCTCTCGGAGCTCCAGAACAGCGAGGGGGAATTTTGATAAATTCAAGTTGCTTGGCAAATATAATAGGGATTTGGTACTAATCCTACTTAACCCGCTGCGAAGATGCTGCGCTCCCGAGCCCCCCTCCTCCGTCCGGGACTGCGGCGGTGAACACTGAGCCTGCGCCGAGCGAGGCTTTCTCGCTGATGCTGCAGATAGAAAGCCGAGTGTCTCCGGCATCGGCGGGGGAGGGTTTTTGCGTTCTGGCGAGGCAGGGAGAGCGGCMGGGGCCGGTGCCAGGGCCGGAGGAGGCGCCGGAGGAGCAGCCCTGCAGYCCTCCGGAGAGGGGAGCAGTCCTTCCCTCCCTCCCTAGCGCCGACTCCATGCGGCGCGGCTCTGCCCCTCTGTGTCTCTGGACTCCTCAAGGAAAGAGGTGGCAACCTTCCCTCCCTCCTACAATCACTCACCGCCCCAAAYGACAAAGACACGCTGTGACCGTTGCTTTGAACCACCTCAACATATCCGGCCGCTTTTCGCTCAAATATGTCATCGCGATGAATGGCATTTMGCTACATTCTTCTGCATGCGTTTTTATTCAAAATAGCCATTTATAACGAGGACTGCACACACAAACACATACAGAACCCGCAACAACTTGTTTTGCCACATGTGTTCGCAGAGGGAGAAAGAGCAGCTGGATCCCTGCCTTCCCCTCGCTGCGCGCTCGCACACACACACACATGCACACACACACACACACACATGCACACACACACACATGCACACACACACACATGTACACACACACACATGCACACGCACACACCCGCACTCATACACCCGCATACGCTCACACACGCACATCCGCACACGCCGGTTCTCTCCCCACTGCCTGCCCCACGCTCGCCTGCCCCCGGCGTCTCCCTCTTTTCCCTCCGGCATCCCAGCAAAGAGGACAGGTGACGAGCCAGKCATCGCAAAGGTAGGGCAGGAGCACACAAAAGCCATAGGCGATTAAAAGGCTCAAAGTCAAAAGGAGACGCGAACTAGGGCCCTTAGAATAAGCAAAGTTGAGCCGGAGAGCTGTACCATTAAAGTTTATTTCCCACTTACCCAGGTAGGTGACGCTACATTTTAGCAATCATCGAAGCAGCAAGTCTCTGTTCGGAAATAAATCTGTTACTTCTTACATGTGTTTATTCTACTAACCCTCTCTCTCCCTTCCTGATCATCTTCTCCGAGGGATTTTTTTTTTTTCTCCTAGGAAACCCAGAAACACGCTGAAAAGACACATTCAAAACATGGTAATAGGAAGAACACAATCACAAAGACCGAGAGGCTGAAACAGCACTGGGAAACAGGACGAAAGTCTGAGATCTAAGGCAACCCCCCTGCCTCCCTTGAGTTTTATGCAGTTACAGTGACTGCAGCTATTTCACAAAAGCACCGACACAACAGGGGAAGGTGGGAATCTGCGAAATGAGTTTCCTTACCAGCTTGATTCCGCAAAATGCAGAATAGAAGAAAAGAAAGGCGAATAAACATTTGCTCTAAAAATCGTTGCTCGATTCACAGTCTATAGCGGACGTGGGGAGGGAAAGGGTAGGAGAAAATCACTACAGATCACGGGTTTAAGAAGGCAACAGAAGCAACACTCGGGCGTGAAATGAGGATCGGTTTTGAGGACTGAACTGGTGTTTTGTGATGAGCAGCTATCCCACTTGCAGCACTAGCAGCAGCAGAGACAGAGGGTAAGACTGAGCTTTCTGGAGAGCAGCGCTTGACTCGTCCTCCCTCCTCCTCCTCCCTCCCTCCCTCCCGCCCTCCCTCCCTCTCTCACTCTCGCTCTCTCTCTCTCTCTCTCTCCGCTCTCCCTCTTTCTCTCTCTCCCTCTCTCTTTCTGTGTGTATGTAGCGCAGGCGGCTCTGCTGCTGCAGCGTCAGGGAAGAGCTACCGAGAGAGGCTTCAGCAGCTCCCTCCACTTTGGGCAAACTTGCCGGTTTACCGCTTCTTCTTTTTTTTTTTTTTTTCTTTTTTTTTCTCATCCGAGTGGGAAGCTTCTCAATTGCCATTCAACATTTTAAAGCACAAGCCGCTCTGCCGTGAAAGCGCCTGATCCACACTTCTCTGAAAGACACAGGAGGGAATACACAATTGCAGATTTCACCCACTGTGGCGGTGCAGATCACAGGAAACAACTGACTGATACAATTTTATTTGCAAATAGAACTCTGTATTATTTTTTTTAACGCGTCGCGGCTCTTTTCCCCTCCCCTTTGCCATTCCGCTTTATATGGATGTAATTCAGAATCTGTGTTAATTCACATGGGGGATCCAGTTACATCTTGTTCCGCTCCGGGTATAATTACGAGAGACCAATAATCGCCTTTGGACACATAGTTTTGTTGCTAACCTTTGAACTGAAAGGATCAAGTTCAGATCTGGTTACCTGCATTGGGACGGGAAGGAAGAGGAGAGAGAGAGAGAGAGAGAGAGACTGCAATCTCATTTGTGAATCGCTCTCAGTGCTGCAGATCCTGATTGCTATAACACATGCAGTGCAAATGCAGGTAAGGCACACACACAAACTGCGGATGCAAAAACAAACTTGGGACTGTTGTGTGTCTATGTTCTTATCTCCAGCCTTGCAAATTCCGGGCAAACGGCTTCTGCAGTTTCTGTATCGTTGCTTTGTGACTAATGACCTTGCGCAGAGTTGTTAAAAAAAATTCGCTCCGGAGAAAGAGCTGAGCATTTTAGGCGATCTCTGAAGATGGATTTGGGTGCTTTTCTGCCAACCAAAGGGGATATTCTGTGGACTGCACTGTAATACTCGGGGTTCTTCTCCTATCAGGTGTGCAGCTACCGACATTATTGGGATTTTTTTTTTCTTTACTTTTTTTTCCTTTTTTTTTTTTTTTTTTTTTTTTTTTTTTTTTTTTTTTTTTTTTTTTTTTTTTTTTTTTAGAACTGCCCATTGCTAAGAGGATTTGGAGTTTTCCCGGACCCAAACCCTTTGAATAAAGAGAATCACAATTTTTTTTCCATGTGTGTGCAGAGAAGGGGAAGAATAAAGCTAATGCCTCGGTCGTGAACGGCTGAGCGAGAGGGAGAGAGAGAGAGAGAGAGAAAAGAGAGTGTGTGAATTGTAGTTAACTCTAGTGTCGAAGACGACGACCTGGGGGGCTTCGAATCGTACAGTGCTGCTCCTGCTTTTATTGCAAACCTTGCAAAGTGATTACAGTAAAATCAGAGAGGAGGAGGAGAAGGGGGAGGAGGAGGAAAATCCCATCCCATCTACTGAGATGAATCTTTAAAAAGCAAAATACACTGTCCCGTGAACTGTAAGTATATCGCAACTGGAAGGCAGGGAGAGCAGCAGAGGAGCCAGCAGCAGGGTTTTGACCACCAATTGCACCAGTCATGAGACAATAAGTTTCCAGAAATAGAAGGATTTTATAACTGATCACCTGGACTCTCAGCCGCTCTGTTGGCTTATCAGGGGAGTTTATTGGGGGGCAGGTGGGAGTGAGAGGAGGGCGGGGGGTTTCGCTGCGAGGAAGATGAGGAAGATGCGGACCCTCCTTCGCTTTGTGCATTGCTGCTGCTGCTGCTTCTTGCTTCTCCTGCCTCCGCCGCTCTGGGTCAGCCTGGCAGCGGCTAAGCAGCTCCTAAAGTACCGGCTGGCCGAGGAGGGACCCGCCGACATCCGCATCGGCAACGTGGCTTCCGACCTGGGGATCGTGACGGGCTCCGGAGAGGTGACATTCAGCCTGGAGTCGGGCTCCGACTATCTCAAGATCGATAACATGACCGGGGAGCTGAGCACCACAGAGCGGCGCATCGACCGCGAAAAGCTGCCGCAGTGCCAGATGATCTTCGACGAGAACGAGTGCTTCCTGGACTTCGAGGTGTCGGTCATCGGCCCCTCGCAGAGCTGGGTGGACCTCTTCGAGGGCCGGGTCATCATCCTGGACATCAACGACAACACCCCCACCTTCCCTTCCCCCGTCCTCACCCTCACCGTGGAGGAGAACCGGCCCGTGGGGACTCTCTACCTGCTCCCCACCGCCACCGACAGGGACTTCGGCCGCAACGGCATCGAGCGCTACGAGCTGCTGCAGGAGCCCGGCGGGGACGGCGGGCGGCGCGGCGGCGGGGGGGGCTCGGCCGCGGCGGCCCCCGAGAGCGCCCCCTACCCCGGCGGCAGCAAGCGGCGGCAGGAGGCGGAGGCGGCGGCCCGCAGCAGCGTCTTCGAGCTGCAGGTGGCCGACACCCTGGACGGGGAGAAGCAGCCGCAGCTGATCGTCAAGGGGGCGCTGGACCGGGAGCAGCGGGACTCGTACGAGCTCAGCCTCCGCGTGCGGGACGGCGGCGACCCGGCGCGCTCCTCGCAGGCCATCCTGAGGGTGCTGATCACCGACGTGAACGACAACAGCCCCCGCTTCGAGAAGAGCGTCTACGAGGCGGACCTGGCGGAGAACAGCAGCCCCGGGACCCCGATCCTGCAGCTGCGAGCCACCGACCTGGACGTGGGGGTGAACGGGCAGATCGAGTACGTSTTCGGGGCGGCCACCGAGTCCGTCAGGCGCCTGCTGCGGCTGGACGAGACCTCGGGCTGGCTCAGCGTCCTGCACCGCATCGACCGCGAGGAGGTGAACCAGCTTCGCTTCACTGTCATGGCCCGAGACCGGGGCCAGCCCCCCAAAACAGACAAGGCCACTGTCGTGCTCAACATCCGGGATGAGAATGACAACGTGCCCACCATAGACATCCGGAAAATCGGGCGCATCCCGCTCCGGGACGGGGTGGCTAGCGTGGCCGAGGACGTGCTGGTGGACACCCCCATCGCCCTGGTGCAGGTGTCGGACCGGGACCAAGGTGAAAACGGTGTGGTGACCTGCACCGTGGTGGGCGACGTGCCCTTCCAGCTCAAGCCGGCCAGTGAGGGTGAAGGGGAGCCACAGAATAAGCGCAAGTATTTCCTCCACACCTCGGCCCCTCTGGATTATGAGGCTGTTCGTGATTACAACGTGGTGATTGTGGCTGTGGACTCGGGCAGCCCCAGCTTGTCCAGCAACAACTCCTTGCTGGTGCGGGTCGGGGACACTAATGACAACCCTCCCATGTTCAGCCAGGCCGTGCTGGAGGTCTCCTTTCCAGAGAACAACTTGCCCGGTGAGAGGGTGGCCACAGTGGTTGCCACGGATGCGGACAGTGGCAAGAACGCTGAGATCACCTACTCCCTGGAGGCCTCTCCCCTCTCCTCAGAGGCACCGGGCAGCATCTTCAGCATCGACCCTGACTCTGGGGATGTGTCGGTGCAGGCGGTGCTGGACCGTGAGCAACGTGACACCTATGAGTTTCAGGTGACGGCCCGGGACAAGGGGGTGCCATCGCTGCAGGGCTCCACCACGGTGGTGGTGCGGGTGTCGGACCGCAATGACAATGAGCCGCGCTTCATGCAGGATGTGTTCACCTTCTACGTGAAGGAAAACCTGCAGCCCAACAGCCCCGTGGGCATGGTGACTGTGATGGACTTTGACAAGGGCCGCAACGCCGAGCTCAGCCTCTCCATCCAGCCTGGAGACCACGACCAGGCGGCTGGCATCTTCTCCATCGAGAATGACACGGGAACCATTTTCTCCACAGTCTCCTTTGACCGTGAGCAGCAGACCAGCTACACCTTTAAGGTGAAGGCAGTGGATGGGGGCGAGCCRCCACGCTCTGCCACTGCCACC